TATATATATATATATATATATATAAAAACTAATCATTACAAATAATATTAATAATAATAGAATAGAATAGAATAGAACTATAAACTAAGAAAATTAATAATTTTAATAGTATAAGAACCCCAAAACCATGAAAATAAGAACTATTAAAACAAATAACAAAGATATGGCGGGAGGCGACATGAGGAGGAGGTAAGCAGAATAGTTCAAAATATTTGAATAAATTAAAAAAGAGCAAATAATAATATCTATATAATTATTCAGTAATCATACGATACACCTTTGGAGGGGTTAGACGGGTCATGGGTTAAATAAATTTTATCATTGAAAAAATAGAGTTTTAATATGACATGGCATATCAAAATGTATAGTATTTATTTTCTTAGTCAAAATGCAATACTTAGGTGACTTTGTTATCATAAAAGAAAGAAAAGTGACTTTAATAGAATGATCCCGGGTGACAATCCAAGGAATTTACTCATTTTGAGGAATTGATGACAAAATCAAGATTACAATATGCCCTTATTTTGTCAACTATTTTGAATTTAATTGAAGTTAAAAATCCTTATTCAAGTGGAATAATGGTCCTTACAAGAGTGCTAACCTTTTTTTTTCCAATCAAACTAAGGAAAAGAGAAGGAAAAAATGTTATCAGAAAAATGGAGATGCGGGGTATCGATCCCCGTACCTCTCGCATGCTAAGCGAGCGCTCTACCATCTGAGCTACATCCCCTTGGTGTTACGGGAGGTTCCTGCCCGTTTTATTTTTGTTTATTAAAACGGCCCCTCAGAGACTCGAGATTTGTACAAGATTCAAAGCGGCAGAGCCTGTCCGGCTTGCAACAGTGGAGCTCGTCCAAAATCGAAATGTTAAGGAGATTACTGTCTCAGGCTTCAACTCAGCGTCGTTCGCTGTTTGGTACTTCTGCCTCACTCTCATGGTGTCGTCAATTTTCTTCTTCTCCTCCATTAACCTCCCAATCTCCTAATAGTACTTCTGTCGAACACTTGGAGGACACGGAAGCTAGTCCCACGGTCCCCTCTGCAGCAATCTCCATCGACCGCTCCGGCTTATATAATCCTCCTGGTAATTTGTCTTTCAATGCGTAAAGTATTTCCAACTCTTTGTACTGTTCCTCTACTGGAGTTTTAGTTTTTGATAATTTGATAATTGCCTTGTAAAACTTGCAGAGCATTCACATGAACCGTCTTCGGATTCCGAGCTTGTTAAGCATCTTAAGAGCGTCATCAAGGTTTGAAATTACCCCCTCCCGACTTGAGCATGTCTTTTGATATGCATTTGCCTTTTGTGCTTTTTATTGTTTTTTGATAAATAAAAAATCATTTCATTGATGACACACCAAGCTGGTGTTATGCCATTCAGGATCAATTTTAGCGAGTAGTTTAGCTTAACGAAGATTTATGATTTCTCTTCCTTTTTCTAGACTTTTATGATGTCTCAATCAGGTTTAGTCCCTGTTTGGTATAATGCATCAATTAATAGCTACACTTCAATCCTAAACAAGTCTGACTCGGAATATTGGCCATAATCCCTGTTTGGTACGCGAATAACATGTAATCTCTGGTGGAAATCATTCTTTTGCTGGTTAAAAACTGTTGAAAATATATTACAATTTGTAAAAGATCATTAATCTAAATGCAAATTCAGATATGCAATGGTGATTTGAGAAACTTGGCGATGTCTGTATATTTTGGTTTTTTGGTGATAGTGAGGTTCTGTATCTCAAGCTGGTTAAGTTTTCAGTTCAGAGGCGGGCCTATATCAGTTGCTGAATATATGGAGGAAGTTTTGACTAACCCGAAGGCAGGGTTCTATATCAATCGCGATGTGTTTGGCACAGAAGGTGATTTTATTACCTCTCCTGAAGTTAGCCAGATGTTTGGAGAGGTAATTTAGTTACACTGGGTTGTTCTTCTTGGTTTTCTTCATTCATCATTGGTTGACTTCTAAAAACAAAAGAATAGGCAAATTTACCGCCACAGTTTTGTTTGATTTTCTGATTTTTTCTTTTTCTTTAGATGGTTGGTGTTTGGGCGATGTGTCTTTGGGAGCAAATGGGGCAGCCAAAAAAATTAAATCTTGTTGAGCTGGGACCAGGACGAGGAACTCTTATCGCTGATCTTCTACGAGTACAGTCCCATAGATCTCCACCTCTCCAACTTGCATATTCTAAAGTTCTTACGTTGTTTCATAGAGTATTAATCTAATTTTGATATGCCTAAACTGCACTTGTTGATTTCTGAACCACAGGGTTCATCGAAATTTAGGAACTTCACAGACTCTTTGCAGATACACATGGTTGAATGTAGTCCTACTCTACGGAAGCTCCAATATCAGAACTTGAAGTGTATAAACAAGAATGACGCAGATGGAGATGCGGAGGAACAGATAATTAGCAGGTTGACTGGGACCAGTGTATCATGGCATGCCACCTTGGAGCAGGTCCCGGCAGGAGGTAAGAAATTATTACCTGCAACTTAATCGATTACTTGTTTTGTAAAGTGTAAACCAGTTCGTGAACTCATATAGACATACTATTGTTTTGTTCTATTTGATCTTGAAGCTTCATGGAAAATTGTATTATCATCTATATATAGGTTTCTACTTACATTGTCTTTCCCTTGACTTCTCAGTACCTACAATCATCATTGCCCATGAATTTTATGATGCGTTACCTGTTCATCAATTTCAGGTTCGTTTATAACCTCCATTTTATTGGTTAATATGATTTGCTAATCCATTTTTACTCAACAGTTCCCAGTTGATTTTTTGCTGCAAATTATCTATTTTCATCTATTATCTAAACTATGAAACCACCAGAGAATATCCTGGAGATGGAATTACATTTACAAAGTGGAAAATTTGATATGGTTTCAAACTACAAAACAACTTAAGAATATTCTGGAATTGAAAATATGTTAGGAATATTCTTTAGTCTTAGTTTTGTGTCTATCGAAT